CCATAGTTCGAATTACGGGGGGGTATTATGAAAATAATAGTTTGGGGGGTACTGAAAAAAATGTAATAAGTAGTAATTGTGTAGACTACACAAATTCGTGTTCACTTCAGTCTTGTTATAATCAGATTCAGCACGTTCTTCATCTTCAATCCTCATTGGTCTGTCACTGCTCGTCAATGTCAGAATATTTGAGATGACGAATCCAATCAAAGTAGGCGGGCTTTATGTTCACAGAAGCTGCTGAGCGCGAATTTTAGCAGAGCGACTTGACGCTTCAGTTTACGGTCAAATGCGAGATAAGATAAGAAGCTAAACTAAACATTTTATAATTTACAGTTTTTTAGTTCTTAATTTCACCATTTTTCAAAATAGGCCTAACGTGACTCATGTAATGTAGTCTAATAATTAGTTTACTGTCATTGTGAGGGGACATGTTAGGCACGAGATTAATAATAAATTTGTACATATTGAGAATTAATACAATTTGCAGCCTTCAGTAAATTAAAAAATCTCATCTTTAGGAAGGAAAGAGACAGGGCAAGATGAGGAGACTGAGAGAAAGGCTGATGGAGAGAACAGGTATTGACAAATAATCGACTGCCCACTAACATGGTTTTAAAGCTATTTCTTATAACTTTTTTGGCCTTCGAACGTCTTGAAATGCACATATCAGAGAAATAAATTTTTTTAACCCCAAATGGAGAGTGACATCACCAGTCGAAATAGCTGTACCCCCCCGAAGCTCAAGGTATAATTCGAACACCAAACATGCTTGAGCTTCCGTTTACCACAACTGATGTGCGTTGATGAACGTTTATGTGAATAACAGCCTAAATTCAATCTGTTCAATTAATAAGCTGCTAAATTCATATGGATTTACAATTTCTTTATGAACTATTTTGAAGCAATAAAGTGGTAGTTGCTTAGCTGTCAATGGAGGGACAGGAAAAGATTTCATCAAAAATATTAATCTGTGTTCCGGAGATGAACGAAGGTCTTACGGGTTTGGAACGACATGAGGGTGAGTAATTAATGACAGAATTTTCATTTTTTGGGGGAACTAACCCATTAAAAGCAGATAAGCTCCACAAACTATTTTGATGTACACTATTACGTTAACATTATTTTAATTTCCTGCACATTTTTGCACCCAAAAAAATTATATTTTAGTTGTCATGACCACTTTTCTCTCTATGAGCTCTAGAATTGTATTCTATAAATGTTCTTTTTAAACTGGAGAGGATGTTTTGAGTTCTGAAAATGGGATAGACCAATCATTTTCACACCTGTTCATGAATGGTCTGCTCCATTGCTCATCTTCAGTCAAGCAAACTGGTCCATTAATTAACGCAAACACAGCTATAATACCACTGTACAGAGCACCAGCCACACCAATTGCAGCAAAGATAATGGACAGGAACATCTATAATAGACAAAAAGAACACAACCGACTAAGGTCAGTTAAAGGTTCACTAAATGGAAAAATGTAAGCATTGTGTTTATGTAAAAGAGATAGTTCATCTGAAAAGGAAAATTCTGTCATCACATACTCACTTCCCTCATGTACTGACTTCCCTTTTTTTGAAACACAAAAGACATCTAGGGCCCTATTTTAACGATCTAAGCGCATGGTGCAAGTGCAGTTAGGGCGTGTCTGAATCCACTTTTGCTAGTTTATAACGACGGGGAAAATGGTCGGCACGCAGGCGCATGGTCTAAAATTGTTCTCTCTATTCTCTTAATGAGTAATGGGTGTGTTTTGGGCTTTTCGTGCAATAAACCAATCAGAGTCTCATCTCCCATTCCCTTTCCCTTGCGCCAAGGCGGATTTGCTATTTACATGACGGAATTTGATAGAGGAAAAGACAGAGCAGACCATCTACGGGACAAGCCGGATTCCACCATAATCTTTATGTACACAATAATAATCTTTTACATTGCAATCCTTTTATTTTTAATATTTAAATATATTTGGCATGTTTGTGTGCTGATGCGCGTCCCTTTGTGTTTACTAAGCAGAGTGTAAGCTACGCGCGTTGTGGACCCGCCTACAGTTGCACATTACTTACGTGCTCTTTAAAAAAAAAATTTTTTTTAATTGCGCCATTGACTTTAGACCAGGTTTCAGTTGGTCAATGGTGCAGTGCAGTCTATTTCAGTTGCCTCAAAATAGCAACGCGCCATCAATGCGCCTGAACACTCCTCTTTTCAGACCAGCACGCCCATGGGCGCACACATGGGCGCAAATGCTATTTAAACGCGCAGGACGTGAAAATGATAACTGCGTCAGGCTGAAACTAGCAAAAAACACTTGCGTCGCGCCGGCTGTATGATAGGGCCCTTAGAATGTTTCAACTGTTTTTACTCATACAATTGTAAGGTTGAAAATAATCAAAAATATTTGAAAATGAACAAAGACATTTGCTTTTTTGTAAAAAACAGTAAAAGCAAATGTCTTTGTTAATTTTCAAATATCTTTGATTATTTTCAATCTTACACAATGAAAGTCGACGACTTAAAAAAAAAATTAGGACGAATTTAGGGTAAGTAAATGATGACAATATGTTCAATTTTGGGTGAACTATCCCTATAAAATGATGAATATTCCTAGGTAAAGCTGACACACCTGCTGTCCTTCTTAGGCACTAATTCAATTAAAGTCAAGAGTGTAGAGAAATAAATCGAATCTGTGACCCTAGCAGAACTCACCCCACATCGGTTTGCACAGCAGCCTTGCCTCCCAGTGCTATGGATGTGAATCGCAGGAATCAATACCTAAAAGAGAAAAGCACTAGCCATATCAACATAAAAATATGCTGAAGAAGAGATATAACCTAAAATGTATTCCAGAAGCCAGGATGCTAAATAGTGCCAAGAAACTGGTCAGACAACACCAACAGAAATGTCAAGGGAAAACTATAACAATACAATGAGATAGAATTTCCTTACCAAGATACCTCCTCCAACAACGCCTCCCATGTATATGATCTCATCCGTAAGACGGTAGAGCCCCTCTGCTTCCTCCTTTGAATAAATGGTTTTAAAATCAGGGAAAAACAGAAAAATGTTGCAGATGATGGACAGCAGTGCCAGCGGATAGAGGCTGATGCCAATAAACTTGGCACACTTTCCTGTACACATAATGTAAATATTCTGTTTTGTTAAGGCTCAGAAATATGAAACAGACTTTAAGCGTGTAAGAATTTATTCTCAAGTGCTAAATTGATGAGAGGACAGATTATAAATACTCTATGTGACAAGAAGACTAACGCGCCTATCTGACGTCAGGTCAGGTAGGCTACTGATGTCACATCTTTATCATATATTAGTTGCCATAAAAATGTCTGTACTTTGAACAGCCAATGTCACTCTTTCAAAAACAGTCCTTAGAAACATACTGAATGATGCTATAGACAGAAAACTCTTCTGCACAAAGGAGACATTGTTCTTACATAATGCTTTTGTTATGCTAGCCAATTATCCATATAGTGAAGAGGTGCAATGCTTGCAATGATATATATTCATGGGCATCATATGACATTTGTAATATCCTGGAATCTATCTTGGATCATTTGATCAATGAATGTTATCTGCTGTTGGAGGTGTGGGTTGATGTGTTTGTGGCTCTTTACTGAACTCTGAACCTTTCAGTGCACTTATGTACAGATCCCACATGCCCTCTAATGAGGAATCTAAACAGTTATTTTATGTAATGACAGCATACGTCAAGCCTATTGGGAAAGGGATCAAGGTACAGATATGTGAACATTTCTATTATTAGAACATGTTGTATTTATTATAACTGCTACTGCTAATCTAATTTTTAAGATGGGATCATTTAAATATAAATAGTTGAACAAATACTCCATTTAGTTCTCGGTGTGTTCACCACAACAACCACCAATTACCTCATCACCACAGGCTTACATTGCAACAAAAAGAAATGTGTGCTGGGACTGGCACATTATTCTTTGGTTAACCACTGTGAGAAACATTTAATATTAATAAACTTTATCTGACCTTAATGTTAAGCATGATGTTGCACAAAACAGCAATAGCCTAACGAGTCACCACTTCCTTCAACGATCAATTTACATCCATTATTTCTGTCAGCACTCTAGTGGAGTAAATGTGCTAATACACTGCTTGAATAGGAATTCGTTTCTGAAGCAGATGTTTTCAGGTCCTATAGATGATTTAGGCTGAGGATGAGAAGAAAAACACATGAGAATGCTATAATTCACATTTATACTGACACAGATAAATCATAAAACATACATTTTGATGGGTTACAGCAAATGGCAGTAGCTATGATGCAATGAATTAACATTTAGGTCAAACAAAACGTGTAAATGGTCTTTTAATACTTGATAACTGTTTTGAATTGCCTATTATGATTGTACTTAAAGGGATAGTTCATCCAAAAAAGGAAATTCTGTCATCATTTACTCACCCTCAAGTTGTCCCAAACCTGTATACATTTCTTTGTTCTGCTGAACACAAAAAATATATATTTTAAAGAATGTGAGGCACCACTGACTTCCATAGTATGGGAAAAAAATACTATGTAAGTCAATAATGCCCCACAACTGTTTTGTTGCAAACATTCTTTAAAATATCTTCTTTTGTGTTCAGCAGAACAAAGAAATGTATACAGGTTTGGAACAACTTAAGGGTGAGTAAATGATGACAGAATTTCCATGTTATCCCTTTCCATTAACTATCCCTTTAACTGTTTAAAATTACAAACATTCACAACAGCAAGTACTTAATTTTGTATTACCCATATAAAGAATTAAGATGGCACACATAAAATCTCCATCTATAAATTATTTTGTGGAAGTACAATCAAACTTTGACCTCATTTACTAACCTATACTCATTTACTACTGCTACTACGTCATCAGTTATATCTTCCATAACCATCTTTTGACACATGACTCACAAATAACCAAAAGCCTAAAAATAACTGCAAAAGCAAGTGGGTCAGTGGCTTGAGCGTGTGAAAATACCTATTTTAAACTAAAAAGGAATGGCCAGTAGCCTAATTTGAAATACATTAGAAAAATATGTGAACAGAATGGTACGAGTCAACACCAGTGTGCTATTTTGAAATTATTGTGCCACATTGGTGATATAAATTAATGTGTTCTTTGTTTCATAATTGCTCTGTCTATAACTCAACCTCAGGTCCAAGATTATGTCAATGTCATTATTGCTTGTGCACTCTAAATAATGGCCCATGTCCAGGAATTATTACATCCGCTATCTGTAACGCCTTCTGTCGGTTGGTCTCTTGTATCTGAGGGTTCTCGCTCAGCTCCTTCCAGGAGTCTTCATCATGGCAACGTTCAAACAAGTCTCCAGCGACAAGGACTGTACCCTCTGATGTTCCCTTTACCAGGACACTGACATCTCTGCCCATGTGGCCAGGTGTTGGAATGATGGATACCTTGTGGATAAAGGGGATTACCAAATTAGTGTCTACTAATATATATAACTATATTAGAAGTTACTTCCCTTTGTTAGTCTAGTTATGGCACTATATGACATATGAATAACTTACAAAATCATCAATAGGGTGTGGCTGTCCCTCAGCCAGCTGGTTTGGTAGATATCGATCCCCCACGCTTATGTCACATCCCACAATTATTTTGGCGTCTGGAAACAACCCTAAGTTTCCCACGTGGTCAGAGTGGCCGTGGGTTCCGACCACTATAGCAACACTTTCTGGCGTCATACCCTTCTCCTTTAGTTTTTCGACGAGAAAGTCTCGGTCCCAAGGACCCCCGGTGTCTACTAGAATATTTTGTGGTCCGGTAATTAAAGAAATGGTACCGTCAGCTCTAAACGAGCCGTCTGGCTCAGCTGTGCAGTAGCCCTCTTTCAATACTGAGACGCAATACGGCTGGCCTGAAATGTTGGAATTAATGCCAGATTCACTTTTTCTTATTGAGCGATGCATGTCCATTTGAACCCGAGTAATCGGGATAATAATTCAAAGAAACAAAAAGTTTACAACAGCTGAAATGTTATTTTCAGTATAGCTTCATATACTTCTACGGAAAGTCACTAAGGACAAACTAACTAGGGGAAATTTTGATATTGGCGTTATGGTACAATCGCGCCACCTTTTGCTGGTAGAAGGACAAGCAGACAGTAAAAGAGGACAAGTCAAATTTTATAAACACAAATAATAATAATAATAGCAATAATAATTCAATTAAGTGATATTTTGTGTGACCTCTCTATTCAATCGCAAGATCGCCGGAACATGAGCTGCTAGAAGTTTTCCATATGGAAGTTTTCCATAAATAAAGGGGAAGTACTACAGTAACGCACTGCATCATAGACTGTAAAGTACATCACGTGATCATTTGACGTTTGCATCATGGCGGCATCGGAAGCAGTTGCAGAAACATCATTCATGGATCCTTTTAAAGATATTCTGGTTAATTATTTAATGCCAGAAAGATGTTATGACGAGTTCTTTTTACAGTTCAATCTTCTGCACGGTAGGTTCACGTTTCATTTGTTTAGTTGCATCTTTATAGATAAATGGAAGCTATTTCAAAGATTATTTCCTGGTATACTTATAACGATTCAATGACAAAAAGGATTTCTCTACTGTAAACTATACACATGTAAATTTCTTATTGGGTCTAGTGTCTTCGTTAGTAATAGGAGGTTTCTGTAAATGCTGTCACAATTTAGGACTCTTTTAGTTTTTATATTCTCAGTTTATAATACATACATCAAATGTTAATATGTTAAACGTCATCTGCATTATAATTTGCATAAAAAAATATTAATGTCTGTATTAAATGTGTTATCTGTTTGGCTTATATTAAACTTGTGGGTCAACTTTTAAATGCCAATCATATTGAAGTCTGACTATTGAAGTTCTTCTTTGTGAATCTCTACAGTGGATTGTCTGAAGATTGTAATCAGCAAAGGCCTAGGCATTGGGATCATCCTTGGTTCTGTATTAGGTAAGGAAAATCTCCACCATCTTTATAACATAAAAAACCAAGACAATTTCCTCTAACACTGATGATTTGTGCGTGTTTCTTCATAGTAAAGCTGCCTCAGATTCTAAAGCTGATTGGCGCTAAAAGTGCGGAGGGACTAAGCTTTAACTCTGTACTACTAGAGCTGTTTGCTATCACAGGCACCATGGCCTACAGTATTGCCAACAGCTTCCCTTTCAGGTACATTAATAGTGATGCTCTTTCATAAATATGTTAAAGTTTATTTACCGTTTTGGTAAACATTTGTCCCCACACACACACACACACACACACACACACACACACACACACACACAATGCATTTATAAATGTCAAACAACAAAGTGGAAAAAACTGGCTACTAGAAACAAAGATATAAAACATGTGCCTGTGAATATTTTTGACAGTTCCTGGGGTGAGGCACTTTTTCTCATGTTTCAAACTGTGACCATTGGTTTCCTCATACAGCACTATGGAGGAAACACTGTCAAAGGTAATAAGACAATTCCACATGTTTATTCATTTTAAAAAATACAAAAATCTGTGTTGCATTTTAATAGTCAGTTTTTAATCGTGACCTTTTGATTGTGTTGTATAGGTTTGGGGTTTATGGCAGTCTACTTTGGACTGTTGGCAGTGCTCCTCTCTCCCATGATCCCTATGTCTATTGTCACTACCATGCAAGCCTCTAATATGCCAGCCATCATCTTTGGACGGGTAAGCTAAGCCAAAAGAAACGACCCTGTTCAACTGCTGAACCAGCAGAAATGTATTTATCTGATTTTCTGTGTCTTCAGTTAATTCAGGCTGGTACCAACTACACAAATGGCCACACTGGGCAGCTATCAGCTATTTCAGTGTTTCTGCTGTTTGCTGGTTCTCTAGCACGCATATTCACTACATTGCAGGTAACACCACCGTAATGAGCTATCATGCCATATTAAAGCGTATAAAAGTCTCTTATGCTCATGGGGGGGGGGGGGGGGGGGGATATTTTCAAATTTATTTCTGTGATGGCAAAGCTGAATTTTCAGCATCTTTATTCCAGTCTTCAGTGTCACATGATCCACATGAAATCACTCTAATATGCTGATTTGGTGCTCAAGAAACATTTGTGCTCCTTAATATTTTTAATGAAACCATTATATTTTTAGTAAAAAGTGTAAAAGAACAGAATTTATTTGAAATAGTTTTGTTTTTTTAATGATGTAAAAATCTTTACGGCCACTTTTGATCAATTTAATTCATCCTTGCTGAAGAAAGTATCTCTGTTTTTCAAAACAAAACAAAAAATGTTACTGACCCGAAACTTTTGAATGATAGTGTAACTTATTTATGATGCTCATTGTTTGAAATGGGTTCATTGAGAAGTGACCATTTTAATGTGTCCTATCTCCCTGTACAGGAAACAGGAGATTCCCTCATGGCTGTCACCTACATCATCTCCTCTTGCTGTAATGGTGTGATCACAGCTCAGGTTCTCTACTACTGGAACAGCAGGCCTGCCCTCAGGAAGAAGACTGAGTAGATCTGAACGAATTCAGTGACCATTCAAGTCAACTAAGTGCACTGGACAGCCGATTGGGGATCAGATGTATCCTAATCAAAATGACGGTTCTTGTAAAATTGAACACTGTCCCTTGATCAGTTGTTAAGTGCATTTATTGTTAACATATCAGCGCTTACTGGAGAGGCAGGTATGAATACTGTATAAATTCACACATTCATGTATTCCAGGACAAAAAAAGCCAGTATGGTGAGGGGTCCTTCTATAATTCTAGATCTTTTCCTCCGCCCTTTTTATGGTAGTGGGTAATTTAATTAGCTCAGAGAAGGGAGTAGTGTCCATAGCATTCTTGCATTCAACCATAAATGTACAAACATACTGTATGTACTAAATCCTCATGTATAATTACTGCCATCCTGTCTTAGAGTATTGTCTTGTTACTCCCATTAACCGGGCTCACTGCATATTCACTAAAACCCAAGTAGCCATTTTGAATTCAACAACAAATCTGTGAAAAAATGTCTACCAAGGTTTTTGTAAACATGAATTCCAGAATTGTAAAAATGACCAAATTGTACCAAATAAATAAATACATAAAATGCATACTTTTAAAAAATGCACATATGATAATATGTGTCATCATATGCTAAAGGCAGGCCTATTAGAACTTCACAGGGGATTGTTTTTTTGTTCTGTGTGTATACAAATCCCACCATATGGACACTATTTCACAAAGTCTTCCAGAACCTAGAAATGCTCATGTTGCTTTACACCCCACAATATGTTTTGGCGTTTGACAAAATAAAGGGTTTTCTTTAGGTAATACATGGAAACTAGTAAATCAATTGCTGTTGTATTTCTTGCAATGGCCATGCAATAGTACATGTAGCCGTGTTGTCGAGTGTCATCATGATGTAAAGGAGACTGGGTACAATAAGAAAAAATGACTTCAAAGCACTTTTTTTCTTTGTTCCAGATGGTAGTGTTCACCCATCAAATGCATGTTGTTTTAAGCTGTCTACAGGTCTCAAAAAATAAATAAACTGTCCGCACACTTAAATCCTTTAAGCAAATTTAATCACCAAGCTTTCGGTCAAAAGACCATCCTCAGGGTATACAGACAATAAATGTAACAATCAATTTAACTGTGTTCAAACACATCAGGACAATTAACAGTGATTACCAACACCTGTGAAAGCCAGGTAGGAGAGTTGTAGTCCAATAGTGGGAGTTGTAGTTTTTCTGTAACCTACCCAATATACTGAGTTATCTAGGTAATTTACACATTTACTCCCCATAGTGAAAATCCCCAATACAAGAAACAAACATCGAAAGCTTGGTGGTTAAATTTGCTTAAAGGATTTAAGTGTGCGGACAGTTTATTTATTTTTTGAGATCTTTAGTCTTGTTTGTCTGGCACCTTGATGATCGTGAGTGCGGTGTAACTCCTTCAAAGCTGTCTACAGGTAAAAGGAACATTTTATTTGAATAATCTACATTGAATATTTGCACATGTGAATTAATGTTCCTTTTTTGCATGTGAACATCTATTGTTCATTGTTGGTTTATTTCAGGAATGACATTTTACAAATGGCTGTGATTACAGTTTTTCCATATCTAAAGTGGCAATGTACTTTTGACCGTTGAGTAAAACATTTCCATTATTTGTAGTGTTTATTACTCGCTGTTCACAAAGAATTTATTTTAGTGTGAAAGGCTTAAAGTCACAATCAGTTTCAGAAGAAAAGAATAAAACAGTTTATTTTAAAGTTGTGTTTTTTTCATTTATCCATTATGGGTAGTTTGAAGTGATGGACTGTGATACATAAATGTACCACCAGAGAGAGGCAAAGAGTTGGTAAAAATATAATCGCTGTCAGTTTTGTCCACTGGTAGGTACCCTTTACCCTACTAGCTGTAATGACTTGCCAGTCCTTTAGTCTTCATTCGTCATCACTTTTTAAAGAGAAGCACAGTCTACAGTATATAGCACAGAAAAGTGCACTGGCAGTACTAGTTCTGCATTCAGTGGCAATTTTATTAAGTCCACCTCCAGAAGTCTAAAATCAGTTAGCATGAAATTCTAATAAAATGAATGTTTGAATAGACTACAGCGAATGTTTGAATAGACTACAGACTATAGGCTTAATGTTGCCGAATGAAGCCTGTCCAGTTGGATGTGATTTTTTACTGATCATTTAATTATACTTTTTAATAAGTCTCTTACTCTGTCTTGTAGATTTATAGGGAGCAGACAGACATAAGCAGAGTTCAAACAAGACTGAAAAAAATTGATGTAGTATTTACTTTAAAAACTATTTTCACTCTAATTATCTTTGTTATATTTACAACTTTGAATAATCATTTTTACAATGTGGTTGAACAATGGTAATCATGCACAGGACAGACAGGAAAGTGACAGAAAAAAATGCAAGTGACAGAAAGAGGAGCTACAGGCATATAATGAGAGTGTTTATCTAAATATCGAAAAGCCGTTAAAGAAGCAAGAGCAAATTATTTCTGTGATATAATCTCAAATGATCAAATTCTATTTAACACCACCTTATTCATGCGGACACTTGAAATAACTTCTGAAATTTTGCTATGACAAATCAGAACAAATATTGCATGTAATGTTGTCTAAATATAACTTATTTACAACATTGAATTTCGAACACCTTTGATTAATTATCAGTAATTTAACTGATAATTATTCTGGTCCCATACAAAACATTTGTGCCTTTATTTTACCACGATAAAATGATAGGGATTATTTAGCAGGATAAAACTGAAATTAAAATTGAACTAAAAATTGATGTGAGATGTTTAAGAAAAAAATCAATATTAACAGGAGGTTAACAGGAGAAATAATTGTAAAATGCAAAGGATAAAATAAAAATACAAAATAATCTCCAAATCATTCATCTATCCAAAACAAAACATCCTCTGTAGGGTAGTGGCCTCTCCAAATCAAATATATAAAAAAACCAAATAATAATAGAAAAGTGCCACAAAGTCAGTCAATGAAGGAAAGTTTTTCTGTAAATTGTGCCATATCTTTGCAGCATTAAAATAAACCCTAGACTTGAAACAGGGAACATTTGTCTTTTGACCTATTAGAGTTTATTTATACAGAGATGTCATATATGTAAGCATAAAAGTGATGCTCCTCTGTAAGGTCCTTTAAAGGCATCTTCAGTCTGCATGTTTTCTTTGGTTGTGCTCACATGCTCATGGTTAATGAACTGCTTACAAATAATTTAGACTGCACATTCTACTTAAATGTATTGTCAACTCAACAGCATTCTGTTTGCTGTCCTGTAGATAGTGTGTTTCCCGTACTCTGCAAAAAAAAAGCAGAAATATCTGACTTGATGGCTCTCAACTCCACCTCCAACTGCAACCGGCTATTCTTGCCGATCAGCAAGGTTAAGCATAGTTTGTGTCAAACACACCTACTATCAATGCTCATCACACACTGAAAAAAATTATTCTGTAGTGAAGTAAATACCACAGGAAAAAAATGTAATTTATACCTGAAAAATATAGTTCAGGCAAGAATGAAAAAAAAAAGAAGTAAATTCTATGTTAGTACTCAATGTAAGCATGTAGAAATTAAAGCGTAAATATCAATGTTAGGAAATTAAATAAAACCAACTCAACTTTCTGATACTGGTGTTCCCATCATGCACATGGGGCATGAATAATTAATACGGTTGCATTTCCACTGTTTTCCAGCTGTATTTACACTGCATTGTTTTTGTTGTTGGGTTTAGTAACTTGCTGTTTTGTGATATGTGGAGTTCATTTTCTACTCAAAATGATACATTCATACTCAAAAATGATCAATTGAATGTTACCGTTATTGTGTATTGAGATCTCTGTGCTTGAATCTGTATAACATTACTTCTATTATGCAGATTGTCTACACAATATCTATTCATTATTTACTTAAAAGTAAAGCATACACTTTTAAATCATGGCTTAATTCATTGTTATATTGTTTGAGTAAAATGTACTTGAAGCAGAGTATTGCAAATTAAAAAGTAGAAATTACTCAAATTTAAACTGGCCAAGTAAAAAAAAAAAATCTTTGTTAAATTTACTTAACTCAGTAAGTAGATTTTCCTTAATTCCATATCTGAAATTTACTTTAAAAATCTGCATGCAAAAACTTCCAAAAGAAGAATTAAGTAAATTTTAATTTGTTTTTTTCTGTGCAGACCCTTTTTCATTATCATCATTAAAGGTATTATCAACAAAAAAAAATCTGTGAGAGTAAAGACATTAATAATGTCCAAAACAAATTAAAAATAAGCAGCACAACTGTTTTCAACATTGATAATAATACTAAATGTTTCTTGAGCACCAAAATAAGCATATTAAGATGATTTCTAAAGTATCGTGTGACACTGAATAATGGCTGCTGAAAATTCAGTTTTGCCATCAGATGAATAATTGTAATAACATTTCACAATATTACTGTAATTTAAACAAATAAATGCAGCCTTGTTGAGCATAAGAGTCTTCTTTCAAAACATTAAAAATATACTTTTGAGCATTAGTGTATGTAACTTATTTATATAAATGGAATAAGGAAAAGAGGGTTACTTTGACTCTTTGAGAGTGGTCAGGATTGTTTTTTTCTTGACAGTTTATTGAATGTATTAATATAATCCATAATGTTGGATTACGCAATCTGTTTTTTTTTCCTCGGGTCTGTTGGAAAGGTCTTAAAGTACAGCCCATGTTCTTATCTCACCTCACCTGAGGAGAAGACAGTTTCCCATATCTGTATCTAATCACCATTACGTATACCACCACCTCCTCACCTATAGGGTGCTTGACAAATCTTATTCAGCCTATAATGGAAGATTTCATGTGTCAGACCGGTTTGTCAGAGATTAAAAGATATTTAGCTCTCAGCTAGTGTAGTTACATCAATTAACATTGCATGCATAAAATCACAGGTGATGCCATTATCAGTTTTGGAAATAGTAATCCTGCGTATCTTGTTTCCCTCTGCCTCTGTTTCACCCCACCTTGCTTTCCTTCGATTTGCTGCAAGACCAGTCTTGCCCAGGGTGTGGTGCACTCATTAGTGTTAGCTGTCAATCACTCTTTCATTGGTGTGCAAATGCTTCCTCTATTAACCACATTAACCTGACAGAAATGGACACGTGCTCTGTCAAAGATGCTCAGAAAGGTGGGCTTTGACGTCTGGGGTCTCTATTATAGAACATTTTCCATTTTATCAATGCATTGTTTGTTTGAAACTAGCTCCTTTAAAAAAATGATAGAAGTGCAGAGACTACATTGAAGTACTAAGTTGATACACTAAATGTACCATATACAACTTCCTCTTCAACTTTTTAAAATTCATTATGACAAAAAAAAAAAACTACTTTTCTAGGGGAAATTATCATGGTTGTCATCCAGAACAATTCATTATACCTCATTGCCAGGTATGAGGTAAGAGCAGCGACTACTGCTTTGGCCTCATGCCAGCCGTTTGATGTAGATAGGCTATGTTCTGTTGACAAACAGGAATCCGTGTTTCATTTTAGTTTGCTCTGAATAAATAAAGTGGAAAAAGTTATGAGTTAAAGTTACACCTCCCACTTAGAATAGCATCCAAATCTTGATAATAATAAAAAAAGATATAGCGCAAGATAGGATGTTGATATAGATTTGGCAGAAACATCCTGCCTCAATGTGCAGATTTGTCGCTATACCTTGTTTTGCTCTACCTTTTAGTTTTTATAATGTTTGTCTGTGCACAAAACACATGAGCTCTTGTAATACACAAACATATGTTTCTGTTTAAACAGGTTTCATATTATTTGCCTATAAAATTAGCCATACATTTGACAAGTGACAGACACAACAGAATGTTATCGGATGAGTCTGGCCACCCCCATGTTATTGCGTGACAGGCAATGCTCGTCTATTGACTCACACACATGCGTGTCTGCAGCCCTGGTGGCATTTCAACCAACCGTAGCGGCTGTTTAAAAAAAAGGGAAGAAAAATGTACGCCCACTCACTCACCTGTGCATACACAACGTCTAAGGTATGACTGACAAGCCATCGCGCAAGTGAGCGATGAAACATGTTTTGATGTAGGCCTGTGAACAGATTGAAAATGAAATAGCGCACTCAAAAAGAAAAACATAGGCTATGTTATTATTTACTCACCCTGTCTTTCAACTTGTTATTTTTCTGTAAAACAGAAATGAAAAGAATTATAATACTGAGGAAATTCCGCTGTAGAGAGAACAACATTTTAATGAGCATAAACAAAACACGCCGAACAACATAAATGCAGCCAGAACATGACAGATGGGTGAGATAATGAAATAATTTTCTTTTTGGAGCAAAATATTCCTTTACATCAAACATTTTATCTTGTGTGGGACAAAAATGTTGCATGTTGTTGGTGTGGAGTCTGTGGACCGCATAGTGCTACATGCTTGTGAATTTTCATAAATGTACAGCCTATTATAGGCCTACGCCTTATTCACGGCAGCGCCATCTTTGATTTTTTAGTGGGAATGAAAGAGGCTGTGAGGGATGATGCTCAGGTATCTCCTCAGGCCCCATCCACACTACTGCGTTTTAGTTTAGAAACGGATAATTAAAACGAATACGATCTCCGTCCACACCAGCGTTTTAGCTGCGTATTAGAATTGATCTCCGTCCACATTAAAACGACTGAAAACGCGGATCACGTGACCATTCACCAACACTGGGCACGCGCGTGCCGGTG